TGTTACTGAACAGATGCTTGGCAACGTGGAATTGACCTGTTAAACATAACAAAAAAACAAAATATTAAGTATGTTGTCTATATGTGTCTGTCCTCCGCTAGATCAAAAGTCACAATCAAAATGCAAGAACTGATCAGTAAACAAATTAGAAACAAGGAAGAGCATGAGAGCATGTGTGAAGAACAGCTCCCAAAGATACTGTCTGTTGTCTGTCAATCATCAGTCAGTCTACATCGTGTCAGCTGACAGACTGTTTGACAGGTTGCCAACAGCTTAGCGACAGCTTGATGGGAGCATATTAGGTTTTCTTTCCCAAACTAGTCACACAATAATTATTTTTCCAGTAACAATGGTGATGACATTCGTCAAGAAGTGGAGTAGAACCATGAAGATGTGTGGTGACAACAGAAGTGTCTAAAAAGTTTTAAAAAAATAATCATCTTAATCATCTTTTTGAAACATTGGGAATTCGACTACAGATGGTTGGAGATAAGAATCACAGCAACACAAGTGAATACTTACTGATAGGGGCTACCATTTGAAAACCATACACGTGTCCCAGGATGACCCACCACATGCTCATCACTCTCATACCATTGATTGCAGTAATGGCACTGGGAGGAACATTTGTATCCATAATACGACTTGTGTTTTGAATTAAAGAGAAACACAAAAAGAATTGTACCACCACATCTGTGTCAAAAAAAGCAAAACAAAATTAGTTATTTCCACAGGCATAATCATAATGAAGGGGTTTGTGGAGACATCTGATGGACTGCTACATATTCCCATTTAAATTGCATTGTGCTTGCTTCTATCAAAAGGAGAATTTGACATGAGATCATTGAGTCACTTAAGGCCTTCCTCAGTGCACCCCTTTGATTACAGCATGCCTAGAGCTCCAATATAATTGGTTTTCCATGAGAACAACTGCAATGACAACTTTATTTGTCAGCTGGAAAAACCTCCATGAACTATGTATTGAAACTACTGAGACCGACATCTCTTACTACAGGAAAAATGCCCTACATCAAAATGGACAATGTTCTATTCACATCACTAAATGCGACACAGATCAACTTGTGCACCACTTCTAATATTCTAACTCATGTCCACTTTCTGGAATGCAACACACAAACTCTCCTGGCAAACTTACTTGGTTTAGAGGGCTCCTGTTGAAAGCTTGGTAAAGTTGTCCTTGTACTAAAATTCACCCCAGGGAAGGAGTGAAGCAGGGGACTGTGATCACTACTGTCAGGAGTACTCTTTGTAAATGGATTTTGACCATTTGGAGCCTGATCATGATCTGTCGCCATGGAGACACCTCTGACTGGCATGAATCCATCACTTTTGTTAACAGGTGAGGAGTGAGACTTTGTAAAGCTAACAGCTATGTCAACAATTGTCCCAACAAGGCAAAGGAACAGGATTACACCACATAAAACCCTGTGATATAAGATGATGACGGATTGAAAGGATCATAACTGTTATCACTAAATTCACTTGCGGTGTGCAAAAAATCTAAATACTGTCACAAGCTATTCACCTCCTCGTGTTTTCCACTATCATCAACATAAGGCAATTTGAGCTACGTGTATTTAATCAAGCACTATTTTGAGCGTGACTGACATACAAGATAACTTTTCATTGATGGAAACTTAAAAATAATGGCCTAGTTCATTAAAGTACTGAATGCAACCTTTCAGTACATGAACTCTGTTCAATCAACAGTTTCATGTTTCTCTGCCATCAACCATTTTAGTGGATCTCTCAAGTAACAGACGTTTGTTTCAACATGTTTCATAGGTCACATCTGTGGGTTATGTAAATTTCAACCTTTCGTGTTTTTTTTTTCTTCAGGTTTCTTGGTTGTCATCGTAATTGTGATTGATGGCAGCCAAATATGTAATTGTTTGTTAGGTTTTAAACTTCAGAGTCTGCATGTTATTAAAAGGTGCAATAAAAATTACTAAATAAGTGCACTCGAACCATTAACAAGGAGTGTTTAAATGGGTTATACATTGTATTTAACAATTATTTGCCGAAGGCAAAGTGAACATGGGTGAATATTTCCGAAACAAAGTTGGGGTAAATACTCACCAATGTCCACTGATTGGAGCCTGAGGCAAGTAATTGTTTTAGTATAATTTTCAGAGGTGAATATCAAGAACTACAAAAATAACAGACTTAAAAACAAGCAACCACAGACCCAACTGTTCGTTTGTATACACACCTATATGCAGCCAAAGTAGAATAAATTTTACACAATTTACACAAGTTAGGCAGTAAAACAAACAAGCAAAACTCTTCGAAAAATTTTGTCATCCAGTACCTTTAATTTGTTATATCATTACATGTTGACTTCATTCACATTTGTACTCATCATCTAAACATGAGTAGCTCCAGTTTGAAAAACATTCTGAATTTTGGTCACTCAATCAACGAAACCACCAGTCTTTGATTCTAAAATCCTTGAATATGAATTCTTGAAGACATTACTGGTTTAGGGGCAACAGTAGTCATTTTAAAAATTTCCCTTGTTTTTAAATGTCCTGGAGTTAGAGTGATGTCTTTTGGATAAATGAAAAGTTCACTCAGCAACTGTCTGCCACATTTACTTGCCAAGATGGTAAATTAAAGGTGGCAAGCTAAGTAACCAGGCTTAGAAACGTTATATTCCCTGCCTAGCACTGTGAATATAGCATCCAATTCTTATATTCACCTCTGGAAATTATACTAAACACATAATTATATACAAAGTTGAGGTGTCAAATTGAAAAATTCTCTCAGACATTTTCAAATTCTGTTGTTGTGTCTCGATCAGAAGACTTGCTAAAATTAAGTACAATTTGCTCCGCATTTGACAATTTACTTAAAATATCTTCATCTTATGCTCTACAAGCATTTTGTGCTGGAGCGAAAGTACACGGTTGTAATTGTAGAACTGTTTTAACCAAAATTGAAGTACAATGTCTGTGTTAGTGTCCCTCTAATATATTGTAAATAACAACTAAGTTTAACAGTTCTCAAAACCTTGGAACAATACCCACTCACTCAGAGTTCAATACTTCATCTGATAGAACCTTGTTGGTACACTTTGATAGCATATCAGGTGCGTTTGCGCAAAGCAATTGGCTCATATATTTCAGTTAGTGAGCAGCATTAGCAGGGCACACCCGTAGCAAACTTGTTACTTTGTGGTTCAATTCAATCAACAACGGGCAATTTCACCTGTAGCATCAAGGGAAAATCAAGCATACTCAGCCGTAACAGATGTTTCCTAGGCAAGTCTAAACAAGCCTAACGTGCCTCTGAACCATGGAAAAAAGGTATGAATAGGTACTTACCACACCTAAATTTGGCCATAACACCAGCCTACCAGGGTAGTAGACACAGCTTCTGCTTGGCT